GGTACAACTTTCTCAAACACATACCTATTTATACTGCTGTTACAGCTGATGATAATATGTTTACAATTAATAAAACCTGGCCAAGAAATAAATATCTAAAAACCCATACTCCATACTTTTGTAAACCCTAAGAAAAGGTCATTCCCAGATCAGACAGATCACAGTATTGACCTTTTTTGGGCTACTGTCAGATGATGGGGAGGGAAGAGGAGGAGAGACAAAAGAGATCATCTGAACAGATGAGTCTCTCAACTTACACCGTACAGAGGAAGGAGTGGAGTGAGAGAGCTCAGACTCAAGCGAATGACTCTCCGAGTTTGCATTTTTCGTGGACTTGCCCGCTGAATTGATGGAAAGAAACACAACATATGAACAAACAAAGATGAAGAGGTAGAGTGTGATCAGACTCCTCAGCAGACACCGGCAGCAGGAGCGGCCGCTGGGGCACGGCAAGGGTGGTGACCAGTGAGATGAAGGAGCAATGGAAGAGGAGGAGTGGTGGGTTGAACATAACCTCTCCATGTCACCCTCCTTTGTGAGAGCTGTATGAGGGTCAAGTAGATGTGAAGGAAGAAAAAGAGAAGGCCAAAAGAAAAAGAACGATAATTTAATTACAAGCAACAAGAACTTACAAAACCTTTGAGCACACAAACAATGTTAACGATGGACTTTTGGGAGGCGGTGTGGGTGCCAAAGAAGAGTTATAAAGGGCGTAGCCATAAAGGACTCTGTTCAGATGCCAGCGCAGATTTATCCCTCTATCCGGTACTGATATATACAGGGTTTTGAAAGAGCTTTTAAAAAAATGTTCTTAGAAATTTGAAGGTTTTTCTTCAGGAAAGTATGTTCCAAACGGATTAGTTTAAATTGGTTTGCTTCTACTGTTAAATAAAATAAAACCAACAGGTATAAAATGAAGTAAATTAGCAAAATATATGAAAATACATGCCTCCTGAATGGTTAATGTTTTGAAGCGATGTACCTTACCGATGTATGCAGTAGCACAGATTAGCCAGAATTTACCTAATCTGTAAGCGCCCTACAACTCAGTGATTTTTCCCATCGGGAATCATCATTCTTACTAGTGCTTTCATTAATTCACTTCCAGGGGCAAAAAAATACCATGAGAAATCTAGATTTCCTGACCACAATAAATTTAACAACTCAGCTTTATAAAAGCCTGTGTGCACTGCTGGCAAAAATAACAATGGTATTTTACAGCATTACTGAAAAACACATATCAATCTCGTATCAAAGAGACGCTGCCAAAGAGTCCCAGTCTCATTACTACGGGAAGGAGAAATCCCACAAGCAATCCCAGAAAAAGGCATTGCCTACGGTCCAGTTTTCAGTATGTTCTTTCTGTCCACTCCTGCCCTTATATTCAGAAGGGATCACTGTCATGCAGATAAGCCCATGGTCAACGGTTAAGGTCAGAAATCTATGTTAGCAAGGAACCTGAGCTACAGCTTCAAGTAATTTCAGTCTCCAATTCTAGAATTAGCTTATTCCTTGAATTATTAAAGCTCACTATTGTTTGCCAAGCACTATTTCTAGTTAGAGAAATACGTTCCAGTCCTAAAAGATGTAAATGCATACATAAACAAGACAAAGTTACAGACACTAAGTTTTTCAATAAATAACAAATGAAAAGTAAGCCTGATTTCACTGTCTTCAGGTTAAAATGTCTGCCTTCCAAAGTGAAAACAGGGTGAGATCCTGACATGAGAGGAGAATACCGTATGCATTCCCTGACAGATACGAGGTAAGAATCTGTTCCTAAAGACACAATTGCGATAGCTGATTTAAAACTTCTTTTTTTTTTTTTAATTGCTACCTTTCTTAATGAATCGTAACATTTGTAATACTTTGTACAGACATGCAAGGAAGAGTCATTCTGTGTGGGGTGTGGGTCACACTGCAATACTATAAAACAGGTACTAATACTACTTTTCGGTTACAGAGTTGCATCCCCATTCCCTTCTCCTTCGCAGGAAGGAGAGAGCCTCTTCCCATGTTGCACTCCGTGCTGCGAAGAAAAGCAAAACTATTTTTAAGGTCCTTTATCATCTAAGGTGGGGAACATTCCTTCTAGATCTCAAATTTGGTGACAAGTGTCATCTTCAGCATATGCACAAGGACCCAGACAGTCGGTAATCGGGGAGAATTCTCTCCGCTACCTCCGAAATCCATTTGTCCCTACCAGTATCTTACCTCCAGCTGCAGCCAGTAGCCGTTCCTGACAAGAGAACAGCTTTCTCTCTGTTGTCCTAGAAAATCTACATCCAGAAGTCAAGTTTGGTGTAGGGGGAAAATATCTTTCCTAAGTGCCCTGCTAAAGCACGAAGCTTGAGCTTGTCATAGCTGTCAGGGTTGCAGGACTGCCTATTCCCTGAATCATTCTAGAAATTAGACCCTAGGGGTACTGTTAGCTTTAATTTGTAATAAATAATCTGAAAAGCAGCCTCCGGTGGAAAGACTGGAAGTGTGAGAGGAATACTAAAAAGTGAAAACCAAGCAAGCTTGCAAGCAATTAACGACAGGGAGATTATATTTGTTTTTTAAATAAACAGAACATGAAAACCCTATACACCTGGTATCTGGTGACCAGGGCAGTGGTGCCGCCGCGTACCCGATGCTGACACAGCTGCATCAGTGTGCGCGGTTATCGTGACCATCCCAGACGTCAGCAGTTCAAACTGTCGTTCTCGGTGGGGAGGAAGCATCCCACCTTCGCACCAAAGGTGAGGAGCAATACGACGCTCCTCTGCCTCCTCTCCTGCACGCACAGTTAACATCTTTCAGCTCCTCCTTCTGCAAAATACACAATGCCACGCTCTTTCTGGGGTACAGCCTCAGCTCATCTTACTGGCGTATCCACTTCATGCCCTTTGTATCACCGTTAGGTAGCAACGGGTCAGGAACCTACAAATAACAGAAAACTTCGTCTGCTAAACCTTTGACATCTGTCACTAGGCTACAGCAAAGAGAAGGACACAACCAACACCCTGTCTCTCAGACCTGTGATTACTGCAAGATCCTCTTCTCTGTTTTGGGAATAAAGTACATCGTGGCCGTCCCATCTGCTCTTAACTGTGGTACTACAGAATCATATAAGATTGTCACATACATCTTATATTATCATATAAGAATTAGGCGAAACATTTTCATTGTTGTTTTTCTTATAATTATATTCCCGAGATATAATTCTGTGCGCTAAGCTTCAGACAGAATTTTATAAAAACCCTACTGTTATGACATCACGCGGCGGCCCTATAATTAAATTATTCATTTAATGAGGTTAGTTGCTAAACTACACACAACGGTTTGAAGGAAGAAATACAAAGTGTTATGAATAAAGGTAAATTACACTGTATTTTCCTCTGCATCAGCTGCAGATACCTACAATTGTTCTCCAAGCCGTTACTTCGCATTAACTGAAACTGCTATCACTAGGCTGTTATTTAAAGTGGGTGGGCACTGGCTGTTAATGCACCCAAGGCTTTGCTTAAGAGGGGGTGAAATGATTCACTGAAACTTTGAGAACAAAGTGCCAACATCTGTGACTTCATCAGAGCTGACTGCGGCTCGCACAGTCGCAATTTACAGCTGCATTGCTGCTAGCAGTGGATAGAAAATCTTTCTACCGAGGGAAAACCAACTATGCGGAAGTAGAGAAAATTATCGCAGCCCAGCAGACTGCAGACATTAGCCCGTCCACCAGCTGAGCTCCTCAGCCTTTCCAAAAGCGGGGAAGAGCAGCGGCAGAAACACGGCACGCTGGGCCCTGCCACGGGCTCGCTCCGCTCTCCTGCGCACGCCTGCGCTAAGCTGCCGTGACGAACGTGCCCAACGAATCTCACGTGCAGCGTAAAATAAAATCCGCATTTGCAACGCGGCGCTCCTCGGGCACCCGCCGCCCGCAGACTGCTTTCATGCTTACGCTGTCAATTCATTACCCTGGCAGTACTGGTATTTTTATCAAACGTGCATAGCGCCCGTTCTACCGGTCAGAAACGAAGCACTAGATATTTCCGATAGAATTCCAATCTCTTCTAAATTCTGCAACTCTCCCATGCTCTTCAGAGGCCAACGAAGCTCTTTAGCAGATTCAGGTCTGTATTTTAGGGCACAGCTTTGCTAATACATGTTTGTAACAGTTGACTTAGGCATTATACTACTTCCAACATAGAGCAAACTTCATATTACAAGGGTTCACTAAGAATTCTCTTTTCTTTTCCATTCTCCACATTTTATCTTTACTATCAATCTCTGGCTTGCGTTTCACCTGTACATAGAACATAGTTCTTTGTGGCTGAAAAACAATCTTTTCTGTGAACCAGAGATACACGAACCTAATACTCTTTTTTTAAAACCCTTTGTTTTAGAACACAATGTTATTAAAGTAAGTATGAGTAACACCACAGTATAATATTTAGAGGGGAAAAAATGGAAACAAAACCAGTATCTGTGAAGTTACAGAAATAATTTTACAAAAAAAAAATTGATTTTAGTTTTTTAAAGAATAAAAGAAGATTAAAATAAGTGTATGACAGAACAAAAGAGAAAGATGAAAAAACACTGGCATCTGAACAGAATAAAAATTAAAACGGTGACATCAAAAAAAAAAAGCAAACCCAAAACACAAATGCATGCTAAAAGTACATAAACTAAGTAAGAGTTGCAAAGCACTGACTTACACATTTTTAATCTACTACTATTATTACTGGAACTAGTATCTTAGTTAATAAGCAGCAACTTTATATTCTTCATTCCAAAACATCATGGCAAATGGTGTTTTGGGAAATGAAAAGTCAAAGGTAAGTCTGAAACATGTCAGAAGTAGCACAGAAGAGCACAAAAGTAATTTCTTTTTAACAAGGAAAAATAGTATTCTCTCTTAAGATTCATCAGGACTTTCTCCGTTTAATGAGCTAATGAACTACATTCACGTAACTCATGTTATTGCTTCTCCAAATGTTTCAAGCTTAAAATCATACCTTTCACATCCTCATCTTCGATGGTTGTATTGGAACTCTCTGTTGATTCCTGTTGAGAAGTAAACAGAAGTAAAATGTATAAGCAAGCCAAGCCTTATTTGCGTGCCTTTGAAAATTACAGTTAGTTAGTTACAGATATCATGCAAAGCCTTGAAGCAGGGTGGGATGTAATTCACAAACAAACGGTCACACACCGATTAAGACGTTTCCACCTGAAACTGATACCAAACATGGCCATTCTCTACAGTAGGGAACAGAAATACATTTCCTGCTGTCTAAGGCTTTTACTTCACAGGAATGTAAAGGCAACTTTTTTTTCTTTAACATCCGACTGTACAAAGTCCATCTGAAATGTTATATGAATTACCTCAGCCAAGTAGGAGAGCTTGCCATTTTAAGCTTAGTGATTAAACCAACTGTGCAAAATAAGTCATTCCATCCCAGCTTTCAAATATGCAGACTTCTGCACGCTACAATTTACAACTGCTTTTCTGCTCCTATGACTTACGCAATGTATATTAAAACAAAGTCTCCCAGTCATTTTAAGGATATTGGATCAGATTCTGTCATTTTTATACTGTTTTTTGTGATAAAAAATTTCTTTGAAGGAGATGGAGATTTGATAAATATACGAAAACGACCTTGACAAACTAAGGTATCTTTGCAGTAGTATTCTTCAACCAACCAGCCATGTAGAGGAATGACTCATCTGTCAGACAGTTTGTACTTAAGCCACCACACTGTTAAAAGGGCAAGGATACTGTACCTCAGTCTTTCATGAATTACCAGAAACATGAAATATTACAGGCAAATTCAACAGGGCACTGTCAAATCTAATAGGTACACAGTTTTAGAAAGCGGGGAAGTTTTTAAACTTGATTTTTTTTATCTGTATACTTACTTGAAAAGCAGAATCAATATAATTTTTTTTTAATTCACAGCTCAATAACAAAAAGGATTAACTGGTCTATTTTCATTTGAGAGACAGAAGATAGGACTGGTATTGTCTTTAACTCTCAAAAGGATTTTACAATTAAATAATAAAAGGTAAATTTGACAGTGCCCTTTATTTACTGTGTCCTCACAAGGCTGAGCCGAAGGAATGTTCAAAACGGTTAATGCATTACTCAGACCTCAAAAAAACCAAAACGTATGTGCATCCATAAATAAAACTACATGAATTAATCCACACACAAACAAAACCGAACAAGTCACCATGCTTCTCCTCAACTGGCTGGTGTTAGACGTTTCACTCTACACAGAAGTATCATGCTCTATCACTTAAAATATTAGATAAAGTACTTATAAGTAAACAAAAACCCCACACAAATACAAGTTGTAAACACCATGCACAAGCTCACACGGCAGATGTAGCCTGCAATATTGAAGCATCCACTCCAGTTGCCATACTACAACGATCAGTCTTGCAGACAAATTTAGGAGTAACTCTCCGCATTAAGTGGTTTGCTTGTCTGCTGTGACCTTTCGGGACATTGAGTATCTTAATTGCTACGATTACATAAGAAAGTCAAGTAGATGTAGTCACGCCAATATTTTATCTGGGTTTTCTGGTCTTTAGTGGACTGCAGCGACAAAGATTAGACTAGTGTTCAAACACAGGCTGTTTGTCGCCTGTGAGTTTAAACTCGGGGAGCTGAAAAAGTAGTAACATGAAAATAAAAGCTCTATGGTCGACAGATGCAAGGTACACAGAGGGATGGGATATACAAGCACAATACACACCACCAGCACTTTCATGCTCGAGAAATGAATGTGTTCAACGTCTGCATGCGTTATTTTTTCACTCGGATTCGATCCTTCTCATATGAAATAACCACATAGTTAAGACTAGATAAACAAAATGTCAATTCTTTAAGTCAACACTGTAAACAGGGACATTTTTGTTGAAGAGTAAATTCTTTCCAGGAAACCTAGGAACATGAGTTATATGTAAATGATGATATTTCCTGGCCCTTTTCAAGTCCATGCATGAAAAAAACAAAACAAAACACGTTTTAGGAATCAGCTGCCAAACGCAAACATCACAATACACCACAAGAAAAAGAAAAGAGCGTGAAGAAAACGTATAAAAACCAAAAGACCTCTTCGTCACTTGAAATGTTAACGTTTTTTTGAAACTGCTCAGTGATGTTATGGAAGAAAACCAAAGTCCTGTGCAGAAGACACGTCACGACATGGTGTATAAGCATGCTGAGAGACAGCAGATGGGATAAACCGAAATGACATCTTTATCTAAGGTGACAACCGCACGTAAAACCCGTCAGTATGATCTCACCACACTCTGAGAACAGCGTTCTTGGGTTTTACTTAGACCGCAGCGTTTTTGGCTGGAACGGGAGAGACCTCACGCTCCCCCAGCCTGGCTGCGCAGGCTGCTGAACTCTGCCAACCGCTACCGACTCCCCACCGGAGCTTCGGCAGCTCAGCAATCAGCAGGACGCACGTAGCAGACGAACGCAGATGAAAACAGGCTCAAGAGACACCAGGCGTAACCAATGAAGGAATGAGTTTTTCCTTGACAAATTCCTGGAATGGCCCTATTTCGCTGTGGAACCGTGGATGAAATGTGTGGTGTGGAAAAGCGAGATGGAGTTGATTCTTTCTGAATACCTTATTTCCATCAGGGTTGTGGATTACTGTAGTTTGGGGCTCCTGAGCGAGAACAAAATAAAGAGAAAAAGAGTTCCCATCGGTAAACACATTCTCATTAGCGTGAGGGAGTGCAAGAAGAGCCAGCTCAAACGCTGAACCCTGACAAGAGCTAAACCAAACGTTAGCTGTTGTCAGAGGGTGAAACTGGATGTCTCTAAGACAGATTTCCTCAACAGCAAGCCAGCAAAAAAGACCATCTCACCCAACGCAGCAGCATGCAGAGACCTTATTCGTGACCAGTGCGTACAGGGCTTTGAAGCTCCGGGGACCCGCAGAGGCTCTCTTTTGCTCAAGGGCACACTGAACGCTTTGCACTTTTTCCTGTCCGAGCCGGACGAGAAGGCCAGAAATCACCTCTTTTCTTTAAGCACGTTTGCTTGTTTTAGTATGAAGTGATCGAATGAAAATACAGATGAATCCGTAAGGATTAAGGACGAGTTAACGACCTCTAAACACTACTGTGTTTTGGAAGACGTAGATTACTACCAATCGCTGCCCTGGCAGAGCAGCGTAAAAGTAAGCGAGAGAGATCTTTGCGTCATTTTAAAGCGCGATTTCCCCACATCCTTGTCCCTTAAAAAAAGATTAAATAATCTTTGCAGTCGCAGTTAGCCAGCATGCTTTCAGCGTGGACTATTGTGCGTGGCTATGTCTGGGAACAGACTGCCGCATACTCATGCACGAAACCTGTTAACTGGTCCTTAGAAATTACTTGGTAATGTTTGCTTCAGTGCCAGTTGCACAAAAAAATTCAAGAGGAAAAATCTCTCCCGATGTGTGTGAATTATCCACATTTTCAAAGCTATATACGCAAGCATACGGGAGACGATACCTCACAAAATTAGGTACTTACACGCTGGCATTTGTATTTGTGAGCCTTGTGATACACGTATGCCTAAGAAATAGGAGCTACTAATAAAAGCAAGACTGCAACAGAAACGTTCATGAACAGCGCGCTGATTAGTAATACGTTCCTAACAGAGCTTATTAATGAATAATATCTCCCGCAGATTTAAACGTAAGAGAAACAAGCAAAAATGTTTAGCACTAGATGCCTCTTGATCCCAGTGAAGACTTGCAAAGTCCTGCTGAGTTTTAGGAAATATGGAATGAAAATCTGAATAAGGTCTATTTTATGGTAGCCTAGCAATAATCCTGTTAGCTCTCCTTGGTATCAATATTTGCACTACGACAAAGGAGAGAAAATAATAGAGCTGTTTGTTGTTTTGTTTTTTTTTTTTTTTTTTTTTGTGCAAAAGGTTAGCATTAAAAAGATGGAAACGGTCATCAGGCAAAGAGCTAAGAGCAACACAAAGCGCATTCTACTCACTTTCTGGCACAGCATGCAAAAAATTCAACTACAGTTACAAACGCTGTGACTCTACCGCATTCAGCCTCCACGTAACATTTTCTATTAATAAACACGCTCTAATCGACTTCCTCACAAAAAAAAGAAAGCATAATTCAAACAAAAAGTTTTTCCACAACCTGTTTTTAGAAAGCAAACAGAGTAAATGCATGAAAAAGCAAAAAAGAAGGAAGAACAAACAGAAGACAGTCAAAAACTTCAAGATAGCACGAGAAGGAAGATTCCAGGTATACCAGCGCCGGGGTAGGAATATTTTCCTTGGGGCTGGTTACCACGTTCGTTTTGTTGTTTATCTGTAGGTACGCAGAAAATAGAAACAGACAGGCCTTAGAACTCGCGGTAGGCACCGTATCTATATCTCTCTGTATAGAACATCTATATACAGATATAGATATCTATATATAGATATAGATATGGAAATAAAGAATCACAGAAAGATGAACTTATGAACTTGAAAGAACATTAACAATAAATCCGATAGCTAGCTGCAACTCCTCCAAACATGCTAGCTACGGGTTTTCAGATGCACTATACGAAGGTCTACATAAGGTATAGATGACTTCAGCTGTGACACTTAAAAGAACAGAGAGCCTTTAAGTAGCAGCTAATCACATATAAGAAGAATAAAGAATTAATATGGGTTTGAAGAAAGTCCTAAATAGCCATTGCGAATTCTTGACATGCAACAGTATTAAATAATTGCACCCAGTTGTTCTTTATTTCTAATCACCTCTCACTACCGTAAATAATATTTGATTATTCATAGCTCTCCAGGAATCTATAGATTTGTTCTACTGGCTTCTGGGAACAGATTTGAACAAATGTAACTGATTCCAGGTCTGACTAAATACAACTGATGCTAGAAAGAGACTGGTGCCCCTTTAGCTTTTTTCGGTTTAATTTAGACAAAAATAATTGGCAGCCGTGATTTTCTGCAGTCTCAAGAATCCTGCACTAACTGTCTATCAGCCTTTCAATTTTGGTACTATAACCTGAGAGTGTAAGGTTTCACACTATAGTATCTGTAGCCTTACTCCACAAATCAGTACGTATCTGCTTAACTTTACATGTCAGTCATTAAGCTTAGCACAGTACTACACCTTTACAAGACTTTTGGCTTTTACTTATACAAAATTTTAATTCAAATTAAACTGTTTAGCAGTAAGTTTAAAGGTATCTGATTCTTTAAATCCATTTTTAAGATTCAGCTTTCATAAATATCGTGGTATGAAAAGAACAGAAATACCGAAAATAATGTACCGAGCCACTTTTTACATGCACTAAGAAGCAAGATTAAAGTATAGTAAAACTAGTTTGAAAAATGTCTTTTTTTAACAATAATTAGGAAAAAAAAATTACGTACATTTTGGTCATGTCTAATTTTAACAAGAGCAGTCCAAAGCAGCATGCAGAACTGGGTGTATAGACATATATTGTCTGCAAAGACTTTGATCCAAAAAAGAAAAAAAAAAGTTGTACTGAACCTTCTAGTCACAGTACTTAATAATAAATGTGCAAAACAAAGCAAAAAAGTCCAAAATTGTTTCATTAATGGATTTTTGTAAAAATGTAATGAACTTCTTCATTTAAAGAAACAAACTCTAGCAATTTTGGGGTCAAAATTTGGTATTTTTTCTCCTAAAAGAAAAGCCTTTCTAAACCAATTAGAAAACGGCACTATGCTAAGTAACGTATATGAAAAGGCATAAAGAAAGAGGAAGCCCTATAATGGTGGGCCAAACTGAGCTGTCCATGAAACGTCTGACTTCTGATTTAAACTTCCCGATGACTGTAGTCTCAGATGAAGCATTCAGCTTCTCCGCCACGCAGGCTAACATCTAAGTTTTGCCTGTGCCAAGGCGTTGCTAAATTCGAGCCTTCAGAAGTTAGCACCGCCGGGGAAATTCACTGAACTTCAGCTCCTCGGCAGTTTTTGATGATTATTTTACTTTGGTACACATGCGGCTGCTGACCGAAGCCTGCAGCTGAACTGACTCTTACTTAGGGTATGTCTAGATTATGGAAATGTCAACAGCATTTGTATTAATTAATTACAGACTGCAAATTTCCTTATCTTGACCAGCATTTAACTGGCTTTGAAGAATACAAAGCAGTCTCGTTAGTTAATGTCAGGGAACATTGTTTCGACACTAAATGTTATTTAGTAATATTTGTGATAGGAACCATTCTCTCATACAGAATAAAAATAATTTTCTTTGATTTAAAATCAAAGTTCACACTGCTTTACAGCAGGAGGATGAGAAACAGTTATTTTTTTTAGCAATGGTCTTTCTACAGAAATTGTCATTAAGAGAAAATATGAGTCATTCTGGAGTTCCAAGTGTTTAGTTTATGCCCCAACTTGGCCCAGTTATTGTCAAAGAAATTTCATTTACCTATTCACAATTACAGCCATAAGTTGCAGGGGTGTCTGAACTCAAGACAGGGAGAGAATAAATACCTTCGTGCATAAAGTCATTCACGGGGGGACATAAGTGTATCAACTAACTCGCTTCGGTATTTATGGGACTGTGAGATGAGCAAAACCTGAACTCCTTACTCAGGAAAAAACATTTTAAAAAACCCCCAACCGCTTCAGCAAATGAAAATTCTACAGGAGAACTGTGGAATGGTGAGAGCACGTACAACACTGCTGGACGGCATACTAAATCTTCCAAAACAAGAGAAAAATCACGTATCAAGTTGTGTAACTGCAAGTTCATATTTTTATGAATGTAGTCATCAAGAGACTACGAATAAAAAGGCCCTCACAAAAGGCAGATAGACATAAAGCAAAAACATGAGGAAAGAAATGAAGATTTCACCAGATTTCATACAGTCCTATTCAGTAGTAGCTTCATACAAAAAAATAAAGTGATATGCCAAACGGATGCTTGTTGTTGAATACATAATGAAAACAGGTTAATCAAATTTCAATTCCAATTTTGCCTGAGTAAGGAGAGCAGGCTTGGGTCCATACTCCCTTGGTGAAAGTCCTATAAAAATAAACAATATCCATTACAGCTACTGCTGAAAACTGCAGGAAATATATTAAAAACTTCTTAGTAAGATATCGAGAATACAGCATTCATTAGTAAAAGCAGAAAGAGATAACGTAATTCAAAATACAGTTATTTCTTCTGTGTAAACAGAACTTGGTAAACCCTTTGAAACTTAGAGAGAAAACAGCAATAAGCCTGTACACTTTCTCTCTTTCACAGAGCATATACATGTGCTTTTTTTAATATATGAACACACATGGTGTATTTTGCATCTATTTTTAACAGCAAAGGGAAACGATTCCCAAGGGAGTAAAAGATTTTCATATGAAACAGTTATTCTGAAGTTGAATTATGCTTAAGTGGTGACCTTCTATTTGTCGTGAAGAAGGAAAACTTTTATACTAATGCATCGCTTGTCAAAAGCCACTCTCTTAGGTCTGACAGCAGCGCAGGACAGACACACGCAGACGCTCCAAATAGCTGGGCACGATCGTAGAATCATTATTGGTCCTTTTTCAATGTATTATAAAAATATTTTAAGAAACAAAAACCTGTATCTTGGGACGTAATCTTTCACGTGGTACTTCCGTAACAAAAAGTTAAAGCACGCTTCACGTTTGGGGTACTAGAAATATCCCCACCGTACCTTTCTGGTGGCCCTCGTTTGGACACTGCTACCACTGATCCCCTGCCACTGAAATTCTACGTTCACCCAAAGAACAGACTATTTACCTATATCACTACACGTCTGCTCAGCCCTGACCAGCAAATTTTTGCTTTTCAAGGAGAGCTGTGCTTCCCAGTGAAAGGTGTGGATGAGGGATATTTGCCTTCTCTCCACCGGCAGCAGCAACGGCAGCCGGCTGGGACACCACGGCTGATCATCAGGAGCATCTCCAAAGATTCAAAACCGTAATAAACAGGAATAGAGTAAGTCGCTGCGTGGGATCACAGAAGCCACATGAACGCCAGACTCGAGAGCGGGTTGAGGAGGAAGAAAAGTGAGTAAGACTGACTGTCAGTTGGGACATCTTGTGACAAAGCCCTCAGCCGTGAAGGAAGTTAGCTGGGAAACCGCAGTATGGAAAGGCTGCGAAGTTGGCTTTTTTTTTCGCTCCTGAGCATTTAGCATGGCATCTCGGTCTGCAGCGGCTCAATTAAAGCGATACTATCGCACTGTGCAATGTGGTTTGTGTTACATTTTATGATATTAATACTATTAGCTTTTAAAATAAAGAGGTTTTAAAAATTAACAGAAGGCTGTTATAAGATTATTATTTTGTTACTATTTTTATTTACTAAGCACAGCTGCATTGGCCGATGTTACATCTACTTTTTTGTTTCCGTATGTCCCCAGGTTAAAAAAGAAAAAAAAAACACTTGCTTGAAAGAACTGCAGAACAATTCACTGTGGATGGCATATAGCAACTGCAGGCTTAAAATTCACAAGGTTGTGCTTTAAAGTCTTGCAGCTTCTCACAGTACGTTAACAAAACTAAATGCAACTGTGTGATTTCTAGGTGTGAACGTTTCACAGGAGGAAAAAAAATCTGTCGATAAAGATCCTCACCATCATCTGAACACTCGAACTGGACTTCCTTTTCTGAATTGACCAGTCAGAGAGAAAGGAAAAGAAGAAAATGTGACTGGTTGGATTTGAAGTATTAATGCACGGAGTACAGTATATTTCTGTTTTGGCTTTTTTTTTTTAAGAAAAAGACAGCTTAAGCTGTAGGAAGGGGTGGAAAAATGCTATGGAGCATATAGTATCTCAGTAACAGAAATGACAAAAATAGACTTCCCCAGATGTAAATTTACTCCCTTTGCTCCACATGACCATGCAGACAAACAGCAGACACATAAAATGTGCTGAAAACCAAAGCATCAAATCCCAACAAGTGTAATTTAGGCAAAATTTTGGCAACAATTGGTTCCAATATTATAATGAAAATTGAGATAGAACAAATACCATCGTAGACCTGTAGGAGGAATGATATTTAAAAAGGAAAAGCTGGTCAGATAGAGTACGTAAAATTTATATATTCCACAACGAAACACGTTAAGGGTTTTCCACAGGAATGACAGAATAGTACTGAATGTGTGCTTCTCCACATAACCGGGGTATCTACTACTTGGCAGTGAGAAGCATTGAAATCGTAGTGTACTCACTTCATTTTAAGTCAGTCTCATGATTTTTTTGATAGGAAAAGTGTGCATATGTGGGAGAACAGGAACAAAAATACTATGAATCTGGTATTTAAGTATACAATGTTTTGTTAAAGTAAAAAGTTAAGATTAAATATAAAATTAAGATTCAGGTCAAAGACACACTCTGAGTAAACACACAGAGCACAGAAGAATATCTTTTGAATCATATAATGAAAGCTTGAGGCACTTATTTTAGTCTTCAGGAGTCCTCCGAGAAAAGAAATAAGATATTTTTCATTGCTGAGTGATTTTTTTTTTTTTCTGGCTGTTTTTCAAAGTATTTATCCAGAACGTTCATTTGTGAAGCATCTCTCCTCCTGCAGGATCTGGTGACATGAGAATAGGAGCTCTAAATCACGTATGAAAGCTGCCAAAATGTTCCCTTCTTAGCAAGGTCTATTAGTCAGGATGAGCTGATTTGTTGAGATAGTAAACCCCTCGAGTTCTGCCAAATATAACAAGTACATCTGGCAGAATACACCTCATGTGGAGCCAAGCCTACCAGTAAACTTCTGGTCTTCCATGAAATCTAATGCAAAGTCAAGGGGAAACACGGAGGCAATAGAGCTGCACATAACGCTGATACCTAAAAAGCTAACATGCCCACCACCAAACCATTATTTACATTTATAAGCTAATTAATAACATTGAGTCATTAATTACACAATCATCCTTCATTAGAATAGCAAGAAAAGCATTTTGTCCAGTAGTTTTCTATCTTCCACTTACAAAAAAGCTTGTTTTTCAAATATTTCTTTTATTTCATGTTTTAAGTTTCACCTACTAGCTTTAATCACTTCAAATATACAGTAAGGACTTTATTTCATGTTTTAAGTTTCACCTACTAACTTTAATCACTTCAAATATACAGTAAGAAGGACTTATTAACAAATTCTATAAAGGAAAAAAGTAACAATAATCAGTTCTAAAAACTGGCAGAAGTTACGGATAGGTGGTGACTAATAAAATGTATTTTAAAGCACAGGTTTAGCCTACCTTAACTCCATCCGGCTTTTTCAGTAAACTCTTGGCTGCTGTAAAACGAGACAAAGAATTTCAGTGTCAGGTGGTTACCACCGAAGTCGCCCAGCTGCGCAGCAAACCCCCACTGCCTCCCAGCTGCAGATACGTTTTCAGCTTTTATTTCCTCCTTCTGTTGCTCTTGAGTCCAGGAAACGAAATATTTAAGAAACTAAGATTATCACACATCTCTCTTCCCACTGATTAAAGCTGTAGGTTAACTGTACTTGCACAAGGAGAGACCTCCTTGGGTGGCAGAGAGGAAAGGGAAGCAGGGCGAGTGGAAAAGCCGCAGCTTTGGATACGTTCGTTTTTTCAACTGCGATATGCTTACGATTGTTGATGGGGAGAGTTTGATACGACTGTGGAAAAAGTACTCTTCTGATGGCAGGGACTTTGATCAGGTGTTTGTAGAGCCCACTGGCGTCTTAATGATGTTGTTGATATGACAGTGACATAAAAGTAAGCACTATCAGACCAATAAGGCTCCTAAAGAGCACAGTGGGGTACAATGCTATCTATTCCACCTCATGAAAGGTAAACTGGGTTTTAAAAAAGCACCTCTGAGCAATGGTTCTTTGGGGATTTCCCACCAGGACAGCATCAGTCACCTCGCGTGAAAGGTCAGGGAAGTTGCAAATAAGAAAGGAAGAACAATCCACTGGCAAAGTGTTCTTTTGGAGGAGTGCTGCCTAGGAGTTGATAATAACAAATGGTAGGCTTTGCTTCAACTTCTAATGAGGAAAAGCTGTTATTTTCTGAATCATGTTGCACGCTGATCAAATTTCTTCAAAGCGGTGGGGACTGTTGGGCAAAATTTCACCTGCCATAATGTTATTATCCACGTGTTCGGCTTTAAACTCCACCGTTTAAAACTGGCACCAAGAATGGGACCAAATCGTTCCAAATTACTGAATTTGGAGGGCTAATGTGCAAACAAGCATACCGCAGCTCTGAACCTGAAAACTTTTAGAGCAGAAATACGCGCTGGCTGACCTACCAAATTCAAATAAACTATTCACTAAAGCGTAAATGCTTCGTGACTCACCGCCCAAGACTTGAAGAATAATAAATTACAAAACAAGCCTGGCGTTCTTTGTTTTTATTGTTGGTTATGACCCAATCCTTCTCTTTAAAACAAAACAAAAAACAAAACCCCAGTTGGACCTTGCAAGCCTAAGGCTGCTCAAACTAGCTGAGGATACTGGAGTTATCAAGCACGTGGTTTAAACTCGAAGTTAATTTTTGTATTTGTGGCTTATTCTCTGGCTACGTCTGCATTAAGTGCTCAGTTAACTCTGGTTCAGAGTACAGAAAATGTAAGATCACCTCAGAAACCGTACAGAAACAACTAATGTCCGTTACTGTGTTGTTTACACTAAAAAAACCTGGAAAGTGAAGCCAGGTTAATGTTTATAATTTCATTAATATATCAGCCCTCCAAATGCAGTTTATTATTTATGGACATCAGCCAACACTACCGTTAAAACTCTCACAAGGCCCATGATTTACAATTAAAATGAACAAAAATAAATTTGCCTGTATTATGCAACAGGACCAGTGCATGTTTTTATTTACAGAAACATGTACATTAATATTGAAAATGAATTGTTTTATACATACTTTTGAGATAGGGTACATCCTATTGCAAAGTGTGCTCACAGGACCTGATGCAACATGCCCTTAGATTTTACACTACCACAAAAATTGTGGGCACTCCATTAACTTCAGAAGTTCATTTAGGGAGAGCGAAGGGGAGGAGCTATTTCTAAAACTTAAGGCCAAAAAACCCAGAAGTTCATTGCTTTCGAAGCCTGTTTTATACCGTTAGCCCTTACAAAAATATGGGAAAACTTAAATTAATTCTTACGGGCTGCTGTTCGTTACAAACTAGGTCCTTTTGCTAAATTTGCGCATAAAACTTCTGAGTTCTTTTAATGCTTAACAAACATTACATGTTATGTGTAAACAATTAAATGAAAGCCAGTAAAATGAGGGCACCAAAAGCAATAACTACAAGTATTGTGTTTATGGCATTGCCAGCGTGTCCTTCGAAATGTGCCTAGTACGGATTATTATGCAGTATTTTATGTTATAGGACGTATTCCATACTCAACTGCCTTTGTTGCTTTTGGCTTGGAATGTATTTTTAATAATATTTTGATGCATCTTTCTTTAAGCACAGATACTGCATACAAATCAAGTATTTAAAGAATTTGCAGTAGCAAAGCAATTAGCATATTCTAAGTTAAGCCCACAATGAAGGATTTCTTGCAACTACAAGCAATAGCTATAAATAAAACCTAAGGCAGCGCTAATACGCCAGAAAGCAGACTGAAAAGAAATGGTGTTGTGACAACATGTAGAAATTAAAGTGATTTAGGACAAACAGCAATTTTGATTTAGAAGAGAAAAAAGATGTTCCTTTCACGTGCTGAGGGTCTTACCTCACAAGAAATACACATTCCACATAAAAGGAAGAAAGAAAAAGGAAAATAAAACACTTTTATAACCACATCGTTATGGACAAATGACCTTCAAAAGCATGCTTTGCAATGAAATACAATGAGTAAACGACTTGAAAAAATAAAATGTCATCAAGGAAAAATATGGGTCACTACGGTGTAAAACAGAGATGATAGGTGAAAAAAATCCAAAACAAAGCCAAAAAACCTGTTTGCTTTTCATGCCGAAATACTATTTTAAAATTACTTCAGCTTTCTTTGGTTCATGACAGTTGAAATTGACCCTTACATATACAGACAGTGACAGTTATGAAAAGTGATGAGAGATGATGTATTTGTTTGATATTTAATAATAACAACTCATTTTTACAAGATACGCTGCCTACAGCATTCCCACCTTTAAAACGAACTTGCAGCTACTGGCAATTCATTAAGCATTAACCCAATGCAATTTACATAAATGTAGTCTTCTATGTTATAGGTGTGTATTAAATACAGGAACTTAACTAAGAAAGAAATTGTATTTCAAGTACTATGCAAATTGAACAAGTTGTTCTTGCATTCATGATTATGTACTTTATTTTGGATGATTCAGTGCTTATTATTATACAAAACATGCCCAAAGCACTATCATGTTTTTGTCCGTAAACTAATTTATGTTACGCTCCAACAGTTACATCGCAGACTAGGAGGATATGTAAAATTACTGATTTTTAAATTTAGTGTTCTTTTTCACTATTGCACTATGGCAAAATGAAAAATTCAGCATTTTGTCAAATTCCAGCAAAATTTTGTCAATACTGCTATTGAGGACAATTCTCACTCTACTAACAGCAAACTTATTTTAACTTTTGCTGTTAAAATTTGTTTAGTATAACGATCTAAATCTCCAGGGATATCACTATAAAATTATTTCAAAAAGAGGAAACATCTCTTGTTATATCAAGCTAGACCTTAGAAGAGAAAGAAAAGGAGGACTCATGTTACTATGTTACTCCTTAGCAAAGCAATAAAGAATGAACATGTTTGGTTTTTTTTTTAAATACAGGGTGCAACAGAATCTTGGAATGACATTTCAGGTACGTAAAAATAAGTTTTTAAATGTTGTTTGGTGATACTTATGCATGTAGAGTTATATGCATTATTTTAAATTTTCCTCCACCAAAACAGACAGGAAAACACTGTCTGTCTTTTGACAGGTAACACTAAAAAAGTAAAGAGAAGGAACTCACATTTTACTGAAAAACTGTCATCTACAAGAGATTCTATTTGGCCCAAATAGTTTAAATTCTCTTGTTTGCTTCTGCAAAGGAAACAACTTAAGATATATAATATTTAGATGCTCCTGAATAACAAAGATCTTTCTGTACTAATGAATCCTGATTAGATCTTAGTCATCACAGACATCAACACATAAAGACCATATTAATCTGGAGCTCAATGAACATACCTGAAAAATTTCTGGTAGCCAGCATAGTTGTCAAAATGGCCCCCTGTGTACACATACATTTTCTCAAATTAGCATCACACTTGTGTAAAATTCTGAATGTGAACACGACGCAACAGAAAGGGAAACACATGCATAAATGACATCAATTACAAAATTAACCCTGAAAGAACGGATTGTCTGTGCATTACCTATCATACGTGATGCCATGAGTGCATAAATTGTAATTTAATCTTAATTACACACCTATCAGCAATCTGATAATCTCAAATATTTACCAATTGAGAGTACGTAATGCACAAACCACGAGTACTCACAGGCACAGTAATTATCAGCAAAACACATAGCTGAATATGAAACAGACTTTACTAATGTGCTTAAATTCTTTTTTAGGTGGGAAGAGGCATTTATTTGTAACGTCCTAATTAGAAAAGTTCACATCTGCAAAGTTATCCTGTCTGGTCAGGAAAAAACAAAGGATAATCTAAAAGAATAATCTTAAGGATTTTCCTGCAACGAAATATTTTTAATGTCTATAAATGAAGATGATTGTTATTATTTTGAATCCAACAAAACTATGCTATGTTCTATTCGCTTTCATGAAAAGTTTAAGACCCTCATGCCAAAAGCTGATCATCTATCAAATAGTTCATTTAAGCATAATATTCAAGAAAAAATTTGCTTAGGGACCATTTGTTTTACACATGGAACACAAGCCAACATTCTTTTCTCTTTCCAAGATTAGCTACTCATCCTTGCAGTTTTCATTCTTACCTTGAGTTTTCTTCTTGCATTGAATTTCTTCAAGCAATCTACAGTCTCTTGTCTGTGCATCATAGAGGCAACAGTAGAACGTTGCTAAGAAAAGAAGAAAAGAATCATTTTAACGCACCCAGCCAGACATCTAGCATTTTATTTACTCTACAACATATACATTACAACCCACACGGTCCAAAACTTAGGCCTGTAATTTCTACCCTGTCTAACTATCCTTTTGTGCAGGTTTCTACACATTTGGGAAATTTCCAAATCAACAAAACCAAGGTCTCATTTTACTCAGCCTCCTCCATGCGTAAAGTTCTCTCGAAAGAAGCAGGGACTAAGAAAAAGACAAAATCTTAGAACTTGGGTTACGCAGTATAAACATAATCGAAGTAATATACCGAACGATGGTTTTGGAAAATATGTTTTAAAACAAGAAGGAAACTTTTCTGTAGCATTAGTGATATTAGTGAGGTACAGCAGCAGGAAATATTTCAGAGAAAATTCAGCAGTACCTGCATTTTCCCTGTAACTCAACTTTATTTGCATCACAATTTTAAAGGCAAGATAATGCAGCCCACTGGAATGAATAAAGATTTGGGAACCAACTACACGTCTCACTGTGACTTTCAAAGTACCAGCCCAGACTACCTGGAAAGTCAAAGTGTAGAATGTACTGAGAATTGGAAAGTAGTCCTGGATCCAGCAACAGATAGGCAGCCTTTGCTACCTGCAAATTGACTTTTTAAAAGTCCCTGCGTTTCCTGCCTTTACATTTCATGCTTATCATAATGGTTATAGGGAAAAGAAGATGTAAAGCGTTATCTAACTCAAAGTTACTTTCTTGTACATTTTTTTCTCTGGGAATTTAAAATAATCCTCTAATTTTGGCAGTGAACTTCTGCACCACAAAATCAAGGCAAAGGAGTTCATTTCTCCAAAAGCCTTATCCCAGGCTGAGACCTCAATATACGACACTACTGACTGTACCTGTAGAATTACAATTTTACACTCCCCTAGTTACACAGCTGCATGAGTAAGGACAAAAATTATCCTCTAAACACCTTCACTGTATGCTGAAGTAAACTATAAGCTGATTTGTCTGCCAAATTATCCTGTTAAATCTGTGGAAATTACTTACACAGATCCATGGATGCTTTAGTGCTTCTGATGCTGTGATACGTTTTGCTGGGTTGATGGTAAGCATTTTATTGATAAGGTCTTTTGCTTCAGGAGTCACTGTATCCCATTCTGGTGAGGGAAACTTAAGAAAAAAAATACTTATGTGTATATTATCTTGTACAATCTTTACATAATTTTGCCTAAGGATTTTTATTGATACGGTTTCTGTAACACTAATTGCTAGCACAACCAAGCAGTTTTAAGGGGAAAAATGGAGTTTGCCACAATTACAAAAGTTTGAATTAGCCAGTTTTATAAATAATGTTTTTCTCCTTTACTATTTTGACCTTTCGTTTATTTGGTTCAAATGCACAGCATTTCTGTATTTACAATAACATGATGCCAATTGAAATTCATAGCATAAAATAACAGTGGCAGACAGAATAACAAATTCCAGTCATCTGAGAGGCATATGGTCATACAGCTCTTAATACAGCCCTAGTTTCTCTTTTAATAAAGACAAAAATATTAAGCATTACTATTCAAACTCCTTGTTTGCTTTCTTTCAATGTACATCTTAATGCTAACTGTATAGTTATGGTATATAAATCTAACTAGTTATGAATTTAACACCTCCCTTCTCAGGAAAATATTCATACGTGCACTCAAAGCATCTGCTCAAATGCAAAGGGAATGAAAAAAAACCCCATGTCTTAAACTGTTTTTGTGAACAGAACTTAACCTTGAGAATTTTGTGTTTTCCACAATTAAAAATATTTACTCTTAGAGAATAGGAATTTGATATTATCAAGGCACAGTTCATCACAAGTATGTATTATGTACGTACAATGCAGATGCATAGTTCAGTCTCTGCACTTCCTCATTTCTTGCCCTCTCGGCTGAAATCGTAATTCCCCACTGTCTCCCTGTTTGTTACTGTATGATTACTTGTTCACTGGGAAGACGACTTGACAGACCGTAAGTTTATTTTCACTGAAAGGCCAGAGCGTAACAACTCCCTTTTCAGTCATCACCGTGCAGGACTGGATTCAAATAAGAGCTTAAAAACTATAAGGTTCTGTCTTTTCCTCTTCATCATTCACAAATTACTTAAATCTGAGGACCAACAGCCTTCTGTCTGTTTAATATAATATAAATGGATGATGTTGCAAAATTCATAATGTCACCGAATCATCAGTTCTTACTTACCAGCAATTGTAATGCTTTTTGTTGGAATACACATAGTTAATGAAACTACTCCTTTTGAAAAGCTCTATAGCAGCTTGTATTTCCAAAAGTAGGCAATACAACAGCATCAAGGTGTGTATTTAGGAAGCTTAAGACTTCTTAAAAACAATTTAGACTAACTGATTGGTTGAAGTGATAAACCACAAGGAAAAACATAGGCCCTTGGGAGTTCAGAGAGGTCTGAAGAGGCTTGTCAGGATAACATAAGCTTGCATGATTTATACAAGGACCAGACAATGAAAGTTTGGAGCCATAGAGAAATTAGATTTAAATTAGCATGGGATGTTCCCATCCCAATAAGGTTCATGTTACTAAAGAGACATTTACTATATTGAGTGGCTTATAAAGATAACCAATACAAAAAAATTTAGGAAATAATTCTAATTTCACTTTTCACTCTATAAAACTCCTATTTACAGGGACAATTATAAATAATTGAATAGACGAGTACGGTACATACATCGTAAGCACCAGCCTTGATCTGCTGGTAAAGCCTGTGCTGGTCTTCATCCCAGAAAGGAGGATATCCCACCAGGAGGATATACAGAATGACACCTGCAGAAAATTCAGAGTAGTACTAAGTGATTTCAAGAAACAAACCCCAGAAATTCATTTCACACCTGACAACCATGTAAAACAAATGGCTCAATAGTATTATCCCAGCTACTGAAAAATACTGCCTATTCATTCTGGAGAAAATAGTAAATGTAGGGTTCACAAGATAACCTCCCATGCAGACTGTGGGCGAGGATGAGTATCTGACACAACATCAGATCAGGAACACTTGAAAATGTCTAGCTAGCTGGAGAAATAATTTTCAGTGGTCATGGATATTCTAGGAAAATGCATTTGTTACCTCTGGTTTTATCATGGCTTGTACTGGTGTCTGTAAGATTGTGTTTTAACCAATCTCATGCAAAGAAAATATGGGCAACTCAATGTATCTGTATAAATACATGGTCAATAGGAAATTAAAAAAGTCCATCTGCTGGTCTTACAGGATTCAGTATGACTAAAGCAAAGTGCTTTCATAAATACAACCAAATAAGCGTGCGTAGAAATAAAATAAGGAAACCACCAATTGTTCTCAGCTAGGTAGCTGCCCCTTGCCAGCACCTTGAACTACACGGTTTCAAGAACTGGATGATAAAGTAATTGCTCTGTACTCCAGTTCACAAAACATTTAGTTTCACAGTTTAAAACTGCAGTTCTAGTATATTGGCCAGATCAGATTTTAGGCTGCTTGTGAACCAAAACTGAGGCCCAGCTCACAGTATGAATTGTTATGTTTTCTAACTAGTTAGGTATCATGTGCCCGCGGCTATTTTTTTAATACTTTGTAAAAGTGTGTTGTGTAGACATGGCCAAGAATGCCGTGATAACACACCTTCACAAATAATAATAAAAAAACAAATGAAGCTGGTAGAATAACAAAAAATCTGATGACCTCTTCTAAAAATTAATATTGAATTTTACTAAATACATATTATCTGATGCAGAATATAATGTATTCTGGACATCACCTCTCTCCCTCAAAATACTTTACGGTGGACTGAACGTTGTCTTTCAGAATAATTTCTTACCACAGGCCCACATATCCACAGGTTTTCCATAAGGATCTTTTCGTAACACCTCTGGCGAAAGGTATCCTGGAGTACCAGCAAAGCCTGTCAAAAGGCAAGGCAACTATTCTCAAAAGCTGTACGTGCGCCACAAAAATCAAGCGATTCTCATCTCAGCCCACAAGACACAGGACATGATTTCCCAAGCCATCGACCACTAACCGCTTCATTTTGAACTTTTCTTTTTACGGCGAGCCACCTAGAAGTAACAACAGTGGGAACGCTTGTGCGGACGTGGCACGTCCCTTTCTGCCACCACGTCTGGTAGAGTCGAGAGGACAGCAAAAAGCCGGCTGGTTACCCATCTACACTAGCACTCCAGATTCAACAGTGGTGACAAGGATCCGGTGACAGTGCAACAGGGGAAGGTTTCCAGAACGATTACAAGATAGCTGACGAAATTTCATTCATGACTTCTGCATGTAGCCAGACATCCAGTAGTGAGGTGCAAATACATTTGGCTCAGGGTCAAGGTCAAAAAAAGGGAGCAGAGTAGGAAGAGTACGGGAAACTTTATCTGAGTGATCCCCTTGGAGACACAGAAAGACAGAAAATGCACAGCACGCATGCCAAAGACTGTTCCTGGTTTTTTTTTTTTTTTAAATCGTTAGCCTAATTTAATCTATTTTAAAATAGCCCCGAACTATAAAAATTAAAACTCTAAACATGACTTGCGTGGGATTTCTGGGAGTCCATCAGCTGTGAAGACTGTTACCACACACAGAGTACTTCCACTGACATTTAAGGGGAACTAATTAACAAAACAGAGGGGCAGCTAAGCTACAGTATCGTAACTGTAACGAGCACGTGAAGAGCCCTATTCAGTCATACGGGAGGGCAGACTTCCGAGTAAACAACACGTAGGGCTAGATTTAAGAAAAGCTTACGTACGGAGAGAGATCTCATTTAGAAGGAAAAAAGAAAGTAAAAACACCGTTCAAATTTCTTCACACAGAAGTGGAAACTCCATTCAGCCAATGCCAGGTGGTGGCAAAGTCAATGTTCAGAGAGGTTCAGGATTAGCTTGCACAAGAGCACAACTGGCTATGACTCGGTGAGAGTAAGACCACCAACTTAGGGCTCAGCCTTCGTACAGCCTTCGCTGTTCGTGTTTCACACAGCTACTTCTAATACCATCTTTCCACTGTAAAACTCATTTCTGTGAAGTCATTCCACTTCTGGAAACCTTCTTACAAAAGTTCACAAAAAGCATCTCTGAAGTAATCTAGCCTTGAAAATTTCTGTGTTCTTCATTCTTTATCCATTACCAGCAGTGCTGCTTTCTCTTAGGAGAAATGCAAAATGTAGGTATAAATGTAGACTTTTCTTAGGACTGTAACTGAAAAAACTTAATGACCAATAACATTCTGTACCATTTCAGTTAGTATCTCTGTTCTTTCAAGCATCTTTGCCTAAAATAAATGCTTGGGAATTCTTGAAAGGTGAGAATTTGGTGGCTTTCACGAAGGACCACATGTCATTTCTGAAATACCACACCGGATTCCACAAAACTTAGGAGAGACGGTGATAATGTATAAAGTGTACAGCTACAGAAAAAGGAAGCCTTTGCCCTGCAGCTGGCAATCATTTTAGGGTGGGAGGAGGAAATGAAGGAACACATTCTATGTATTCTACTGAGAATGTAGCTACAATATTTTCATGAAAAATAAGCTTGTTTTTTGCAGTCTCCTGATATGAGAGCTATGAATTGTTTAAGAGTACTATCATACAGGAAACACATCTTAAGCTCCTTTGAGAAGCTGAAAAATGTATGTTCTAAGTAGCTTTAAATAGAGTGATGTTTCGTACCTCTTCTTGGCTGTAGTGCTCTACATTAATGTTTTTGTTCATTTTAACGGGGAAGTAATGTTATCTTGACTTTCAAACTTACCATAGCTCCATAAACATTTCTATGCATCACTTGACAATAAACTTTAAGGCAAAAATAAATATCGTACTTAGCTAACTTTATCTCTTGATGAAGATACAGAACGGGTCTAAACAGAAATAATCGGTATGGTTATAGTACATATTCTGAGGTTTTGTTTAAAGCAGCAAACAGAAGAATACACAGTCATGATTTCAGTGAAAAAGAAACAATGCACTGAAATTCTTAACTGTTCTTTATCAGGTAATTCTGTAACTGGTCAGAGGGATCCCAACACGAGTGTGTACTTTTCAGAAAACTATTGCTAATAGTAGTAGTTACTTTAGCTAAAACAACTTGCAAAACTGGGAACTGTTTGTGACCGGACAGTGTCTAGAAAAGACTGCATCACCCTGTACTCCTGTCATGCTATGATTTAAATAAGTATCCAGAGGGCTAAGACAAATGCCGTGCTTTGTTGAGTTCAGTGGTGCATGGGTACACGAGGCGGCACGTTACTCAGCCTAAACAGCTTACCGTCTCAAAACCCTCTTATGCAAAGATTACGTATATACTTAACTTCATAAATGGTGAGCACGTCTCTTGAGTCAAACCTGGATTGAAGGTTAGCTATAATCCCACAACATAAACTTAAATTAACATAGAGATGTATCTTAAACACACAGCAGAAGAGATTACCGCTCTAAGATCTGCCCTGTGCTTTCATCACCTCCCTGCTAGACTTACGGCCTCTCAGCACCACTCATGCAAGGATTACAAAATAAAATGGCCGAATAAAACAAAGTGTGAGTTGTACATCTTTGCTAACACACCTCCCTTTGACTCAATAGGAATTCAGATGAGCAGTCTGGTGAGCAGATACGGCGAAGGTGGCAGCAAGGGGCAAGAGCAAGCACCTGAGAGTAAGCCCGGGGCACTAGCCTTCTCTTGCTGCGCAGCTGGATCCAAAAGACTAACTGTATACAACCTAAATTTAATGCAACTAGCAAACTAATTCAGTGAAGCTACTCAAATGACTTAAGTGGTGCATATTTTAGTCCTAGTTGCAGGGCTGGACTTAATTTAAGACGAGATGCAACTAGGACTAAATCTAGCTACCAGTGAGTTAACTGCAGTCCTTCCGCTGACTTCATTCTCCCAATGCCTGGGAGAGTCAGTGGAGCCCGCCCGAAACTTTCCCAGTACATTAAACACCTGCTAGCAGGGCGGGCTGTTTCAACTAAACCCTGTAGCATTTTCTACAAACGGGCAAAGAACAGGTTTGTTTTACAAACACGCAAACCAGGAAAGTAGCCCGTTGTATCCAAACACACAGA